ATCCTCCAGGCCATCCTCCGCCGACCAGAGACGAGGCCAGGGCCGCGTCTCCTGTGTCCTCCGGTCGTCCCCAAAGCCTCCAATGGCCGAAGACAGGTCACCATCTAGGTCTTCTGGGCCATACCAGGCCCTCCACTGAAGAGCCGGGGCTGAAGGAGGACAGGGCTGGAGCTGGAGCTTCCGCCGCTTAGATGAAACCATGATGTTTTGCTACCATCTGGGGAGGCATTTGATCTTCTCTTTGCTTCCCTTCCTTTCCTATCTCTTCCTTTTTTTCCTTCCTTCCCTCCCTCCTTCCCTTCTTCCCTTTTCTCCTTCTCTCCTTTTCTTATCTTCCTTCCCTCCCTTGCTCCCTCCTTCCCACTTCTATTTCTTTCCTTCCCCCTTTTCTGTCCTTCCTCCCTCCCTCCCTCGCTCCCTTCCTTCCCCATTCCCTTCCTCACTCCCTCCTTCCCCCTTCTATTTCTTTCCCCTTTTCCTTCTTTCTTTCTTTCTTTCTTTCTTTCTTTCTTTCTTTCTTTCTTTCTTTCTTTCTTTCTTTCTTTCTTTTTTCTTTCTTTTTCTTTCCTTCCTTCCTTTCTTTCTTCTTTCCTTCCTTCCTTCTTTCCTTCCTTTCCTTACTCTCTCCCTCCCTTCCCCATTCCCTCCCTCGCTCCCTCCTTCCCCTTCTATTTCTTTCCCCTTTTTCTTTCTTTCTTTCTTTCTTTCTTTCTTTCTTTCTTTCTTTCTTTCTTTCTTTCTTTCTTTCTTTCTTTCTTTCTTTCTTTCTTTCTTTCTTTCTCTCTCTCTTTCTGCCTGCCTGCCTGCCTTACCTCATTTCTTCCTTTCTTCCTTTCTTTCTTCCCTCCCTCCCTTCCTTCCTATTTCATACAAAAAATTTTTTATACCTATGTGTGAATATATTCACCTACTTCTATTATTATTTTTTTTGCTAAATTATACAATGAAACCTGGCCAGAAGTAGCTCAGACTGTAGAAACTGGGGTGGGTGGGTGGGTGGGGGGCTGCACGCTGGTCAAAAAAAATCAAGATGATAGGCACAGGTTGTGCCCCATCATCTCAACTTTTTTTTTACCTTCCTGTGGATATTATCCCTAAGAAGATACCACAAAGTTTGAAAAATAATAATAGGGTTTTAGAACATCCGGATTTTCAAAGACCAATATTTAAAATTATGTTGGGAGGGCATCAGGATACGGCTTCATGTATTCCCACAAGTTTGCAGCAGCTGAAATGTATAAATATAATTTATCAATAGCAATCAAGGTATGATTAACGCACGCTCAATATTGGTCAAGGACCTTCACAACATTCACACAACAGAATCAACTACTTCTCCAAATTCACCTAAACCAGGGCTAGGCAACCTTGGCTCTTTTATGACTCGTGGACTGCAACTCCCAGAATTCCTGAGCCAGCCACGCTGAGGGGAAAGGAAGAGGTTTCCAAGCTGAGCCATGCTAGCTGAGGAATTCTGGGAGTTGAAGTCCACCAGTCATGAAGGGGCCATAGTTCCCCATGCTGGCTCAGGAATTCTGGGATTTGAAGTCCACGAGTCATGAAGGGGCCATAGTTTCCCCATGCAGGCTCAGGAATTCTGGGATTTGAAGTCCACGAGTCATGAAGGGGCCATAGTTCCCCCATGTTGGCTCAGGAATTCTGGGAGTTGAAGTCCACGAGTCATGAAGGGGCCAAAGTTCCCCCATGCTGGCTCAGGAATTCTGGGAGTTGAAGTCCACCAGTCATGAAGGGGCCATAGTTCCCCATGCAGGCTCAGGAATTCTGGGATTTGAAGTCCACGAGTCATGAAGGGGCCATAGTTCCCCCATGTTGGCTCAGGAATTCTGGGAGTTGAAGTCCACGAGTCATGAAGGGGCCATAGTTCCCCCATGCTGGCTCAGGAATTCTGGGAGTTGAAGTCCACAAGTCATGAAGGGGCCAAGATTTCCTCCCTCTGACTTAAACTGTCGATGTGCAAACGTAGGTTTGGTTAGAGTTTGGATAAGCTGCTAAAAACCTAACCAGGGTTAAAACTCTGCAGGTTGTACAAATGCAGTCACTAGGTCTTTCCTTGATCTGGTTGCGCATGTTGTGTGAAGCCCACTGTGTAACCCCCTTTGCATTTTGCAGTTTCTTGCCTTGTTTAGCTACACTTCAGAGCAGTTTTTCTTTTTGATTGTGTGCGTGAAGGTTGGCCAGTGTGGCTCCTTGTTTGGAAGAGGTCCTTTTCCTGGTCATCAAAATATCTGATGTCTCTTGGGTTTTTCATCTTCTTTTCCCAGAGAACTGACCTTGGACGAGCCCCCTCACACCTGCTGGAGTGGAATATGTGGCTATCCCCAATTGGTGTCCCAGGTCTATGTCATCTCGGCTTCCGGGCTCAAGAACCAAGGCTCCGAAGAAGGTGCCAATGCTAGTTACAATCCAATCACGATCAAAGAGAAGGGATATCAGGAAACAAGTGTCTTCGTCTAAGTCAGTGTTTCTCAACCTTGGTGACTTGAAGATGGATGGACTTTAACTCCCAGAATTCCTCAGCCAGCTGTGCTGGCTGAGGCAATTCTGGGAGTTGAAGTCCTCCCATCTTCAAGTCACCAAGCTTGAAGAAGGTTGAGGATTCTGGGAGTTGAGGTCCTCCCGTCTTCAACTCACCAAGGTTGAAGAAGGTTGAGGATTCTGGGAGTTGAAGTCCTCCCATCTTCAAGTTACCCAGGTTGAAGAAGGTTGAGGATTCTGGGAGTTCAAGTCCTCCCATCTTTAAGTTGTCAACCCCGAACTACAAATATTCTTTCCTAATGGTGGAATTTCTCCTTCACCTCTATGTTCCTTCTAGTAGTAGAAGAAGCTTGATCCAAGGTCATACAGAGATCTTTGGAGGATTTGGGAAACAATCAAATTTTAAGGAAGGAAGTGTAAGAATCAAGAAGACAGGATAGACTTACTTAAGGGGAACAGGAAACATGGGCTGACAGTTCCTTTTGCTTCCCTCATGCCTCAGGAGTGGATCCCTATGTGATCATCAAGTGCGAAGGGGAGAAAGTCCGATCACCGGTCCTGAAGAACACTCTGACGCCGGAATTTGATGTAAAAGGACTTTTCTACCGCAAGAAACCGGGGCAGCCGGTCATAATTCAGGTAAAGTTGAAAGAGTCACTTTGGCCAGCGAGAGGAGCGACATATAAATAATAATAATAATGATAATGATAATGATAATATTAATAATAATAATAATAATAACAACAGTAACAATAACAATAACAATAACAATAACAATAAGATGATGATGATGATGATGATGATGATGATGATGATAAAAAAGTTGGAAGGGACCTTGGAGGTCATCTAGTCCAACCCCCTGCTCAGGCAGGAAACCCTATACCATTTTGGACAAATGGCTGTCCAGTCTCTTCTTAAAAACTTCCAGTGTTGGTGCATTCACCGCTTCTGGAGGCAGGTTGTTCCACTGGTCAATTGTTCTAACTGTCAGGAAGTTTCTCCTTAGTTCTAGGTTGCTTCTCTCCTTGATGAGTTTCCCTCTGTTGCTTCTTGTCCTGCCTTCAGGAGCTTTGGAGAACAGCTTGACTACCTCTTCTTTGTGGCAACCCCTGAGATATTGGAAGACCGATTTAATGTCCCCCCTCATCCTTCTCTTCATTAAACTAGAGTAGACATACCCAATTCCAGCAACCGTTCATTATATGTTTTAGCCTCCAGACCTCTAATCATCTTTGTTGCTCTTCTCTGCCCTCTTTCTAGAGTCTCAACATCTTTTTTACATCGTGGTGACCAAAACTGGATGCAGTATTCCAAGTGTGGCCTTACCAAGGCATTGTAAAGTGGTATTAATACTTCACGTGATCTTGATTCTATTCCTCTGTTAATGCAGCCCCGCACTGTGTTGGCTTTTTTGGCAGATGCAACAAATAGAATAGAATAGAATAGAATAGAATAGAATAGAATAGAATAGAATAGAATAGAATAGAATTAATGAAATGAAATCATAGTCCTAGGCTGCATCAACAGAGGGATAGAATCAAGATCCTGTGAAGTGTTAGTGCTGCTTTATAAAGCCTTAGTAAGGCCACACTTGGAATATTGCATCCAATTTTTGTCACCATATTGTAAAAAAGATGTTGAGACTCTAGAAAGAGTGCAGATGAGAGCAATAAAGATGATTAAGGGACCAGAGGCTAAAACATATAAAGAATGGTTGCAGGAATTGAGTATGTCTAGTTTAATGAAGAGTGACATGATTGCAGTGTGGGAACTGCCACAAAGAAGAGGGGGGTCCACCTCTTCTCCAAAGCACCTGAAGGCAGGACAAGAAGCAACGGATGGAAACTAATCAAGGAGAGAAGCAACCTGGAAATAAGGAGAAATTTCCTAACAGTGAGAACAATTAACCAGTGGAACAACTTGCCTCCAGAAGTTGTAGGTGCTCCATCACTGGAGGTTTTTAAGAAGAGACTTAGCAGCCACTTGTCTTTCCTATTTAATTGCACTTAATAATAGTAAAGTTGGAAGGGACCTTGGAGGTCATCTAGTCCAACCCCCTGCTCAAGCAAGAAACCCTATACCATTTCAGACCAATGTCTGTCCAGTCTCTTCTTAAAAACTTCCAGTGTTGGAGCATTCACCACTTCTGGAGGCAGGCAGTTCCACTGGTTAATTGTTCTCACTGTCAGGAAGTTTCTCCTGAGTTCCAGGTTGCTTCTCTCCTTGGTTAGTTTCCACCCGTTGCTTCTTGTCCTGCCTTCAGGTGCTTTGGAAAATAGCTTGACTACCCTCTTCTTTGGTGCACCTTTCTCTTACTCTACCTCAGGGATGGGGAACTATGGCCCTTTTATGACTTGTGACTTCAACTCCAGTGTTGGAGCATTCACCGCTTCTGGAGGCAGGTTGTTCCTGCAGGGGGTTGGACTAGAAGACCTCCAAGGTCCCTTCCAACGCTGTGACTCTGTTATTTCTTGCCTGATCTTCCTTCCTCTCTCATTCTCCATCCAGATCTGGAACCACAACCTGATCACAGATGAGTTTCTGGGTCAAGTCGCCTTGGCCGGAGACCCCAACGAGCTTCACCCTTTACACATTCTCCACCTCCAAGACAGAGGGAACAAACGGGTTTCGGAACTGCCCGGCGTCCTTAAGGTGCAGTTGCTGAGTAACAACGTTCTCACTAGCATCTGAGACACACGAGGTGGTGGTGGTGGTGGCCTTTTCTGCTCTGCCCCATCTTCCATTATTCCTCTGTGTGTGTCTCTCTTTGTGTGCCTGTCGGTGTCTCCATACTTGTGCATGCCTTCACTTCGGAAACGGGACCAGCCCTTCTTAATTCAGCCTGGGTTTGTTTTTTTCACAATTCGACACAAGAGGTGCCTTTTTTCAAAGAAGCCAAAAAACTTCCAAGCCGACACTCGGGGCAAACACGGCGAGACCGGTTGTTTACACGGAAAGACACAACTCTTCTCCGGCCTGTGAGTCTCCTCTCGGTGTTTGCCAAACGGCACCTTCTTAACCGATGCCACCGTGGGTGTGCCGCCGACATCTCGAGAACAAAGATTGGGAACGAGAGATGGACTGCCGCATCGGAACACCACCATGTGTGATATTTGTGTTGCGCCTCTGCAGGGATTGTGTAATATCTAAAGTTAGGCCTGGAAGTCTCTACAGCTTAGCTTGCCTTTCATGAACCATTCCAGTCCTTAAAATCTCTTCTGTCGTCCCTTTGATTTCAACAGGGTTTCAACAAGAGTTTGATCTTAAACAGGGATTGCTTTCGTGTTCCTGGGTTTTTAAAAGACATTTTTTAAAAATAAATCATGAGGTTGAGTGTTCCAGAAGCTGAATCTCATCTCCAGAATCCGATAGAACAGTGTTTGTCAACCTGTTAAGCCTTGTGGACTTCAACTCCCAGAATTCCCCAGCCAGCCAATTCTGGGAATTGAAGTAAACACGGTTTAAACTACTGAGATGCCATAGATTTATGATTCACCCACAACCAGTAGATCAGGGGTCTTCAAACTTGGCAACTTTAAGACTTGTGGACTTCAACTCCCAGAATTCCTCAGCCAGGCACGCTGGCTGAGGAATTCTGGGAGTTGAAGTCCCCAAGTCATGAAGGGGCCATAGTTCCCCCATGTTGGCTGAGGAATTCTGGGAGTTGAAGTCCCCAAGTCATGAAGGGGCCATAGTTCCCCCATGCTGGCTGAGGAATTCTGGGAGTTGAAGTCCACAAGTCATGAAGGAGCCATAGTTCCCCCATGTTGGCTCAGGAATTCTGGGAGTTGAAGTTCACAAGTCATAAAAGGGCCATAGTTCTCCCCATGCTGGCTGAGGAATTCTGGGAGTTGAAGTCCGTGAATCATGAAGGGGCCATAGTTCCCCTATGCTGGCTGAGGAATTCTGGGAGTTGAAGTCCACAAGTCATGAAGGGGCCATAGTTCCCCCATGTTGGCTCAGGAATTCTGGGAGTTGAACTCCACAATCATGATGGGGCCATAGTTCCTCCATGTTGGCTGAGGAATTCTGGGAGTTGAAGTCCACAAGTCATGATGGGGCCATAGTTCCCCCATGTTGGCTCAGGAATTCTGGGAGTTGAAGTCCACAAGTCATGAAGGGGCCATAGTTCCCTCATGTTGGCTCAGGAATTCTGGGAGTTGAAGTCCACAAGTCATAAAAGTTGCCTAGTTTGAAGACCCCTGCAGTAGATCTTTCCAACTCGCCATAAGTCCTTGAAACAGAGCAGGAAAAAACATATCTAAATAATCATATTGCAATAAGGAACCATTTTTTCCAAATCAGATGTCTTCCCCAAACATTGTGGGGGGGTTACTGTTAAATTCCCACCCCCGTTTGTAAGTCTGTGGTTGCAGAATGGGAAAGTGAAACAATTTGACTTTGTGCCATATTTTTCAGAGTATTTTCCACAGGGGCCAAAGAACATTTTTGAGTGCCATGGAAGCGCCATTGGTTTGTTTTTTTTTATTCTTCCTGTAGAAATTTCCCATGTAAAAGAACAGAAGAGTTTTAAAAAGGGAGCTGAATTTCTGTCAGGGAACAGGCTTTATCCGTAGCAGTGTTCGAGAAGGAATGGGACAATTCGTCCTGGTGCGACTCGCCCCAGTTCTCTTGCTGCAGCTGACTCGCCACGGACAACTTAACACAACACAATTCAAGGCTGTATAACTGTCAGATGCTGGGGAAATCATGAAATTCGGGCGGTTCAAATGAGTATAAAGATTTATTGCAAGCTGGAGCTCTCTACAATAGAGGTCCCCAACCTTTCTGGGTTAGTGGCCCAGAGGGAAAGTGAGGGAGAGGCACTGTTTTACATACACACACACACACACACACACACACACACACACAAACGGCCACGAGAGTCCACAGGCCTCATTTGATCTCCCTATTGACCAGGGGTCTTCAAACTTGTCCCTTTGATGACTTGTGGACTTCAACTCCCAGAATTCCTCAGCCAGCAACGCTGGCTGAGGAATTCTGGGAGTTGAAGTCCACAAGTCTTAAAGTTGCCAAGTTTGAAGATCCCTGCTGTAGAGAAATAACCTTTTACAAGATACCACAACGTTCCAAAGTCCTGTGTTTTGCCAAGAATCAAAAATGTTTCCAGTTATTTTGTTTTATCCTCCTTTAAAAGACCAGTGAATGCTTAATATTGCAGTAAAATTAAAATGGCAGCAATTACGGATCAATAACAAGGATTCGGCCTAGGGCAGTTGTGCTGTTCGTAAAACCGCAACGATTCGCTTGTTTTCCACCATCCTAAGAAACCCACCACCCTCCTGTTACCCTGGGGTTGTTTCAAGTATGGCCCACACTCCTTATTCCGTTTGTGTGTCACATCTTCACAAATAAATCTACCCGTGAAACCATACAGGTAGTTCTCAACTTACAACCACAATTGAGGCCGACACTTTCATTGCTAAGCAAGACACTTGTTGAGTGAGTTTTGCCCCGCTTGACGACCTTTCTTGCCGCATTCGTTAAGCGAATCACTGCAGTTGTTAAGTTGGTAACACGGTTGTTAAGTGAATCTGGCTTCCCCCATTGACTTTGCTTGTCAGAAGGTCGCAAAAGGGGATCACAGGACCCCGGGGACACTGCAACTGTCATAAGTCCCAGTCAGTTGCCAAGCCTCTGAATTTTGATCACGTGACCCTGAGGATGCTGCAACGGTCGTAAGTGTGAAAAACAATCATGTCACTATTTTCCATGCTGTTGTAAGTTTTAATGGTCACTAAACGAACGGTTGTAAGTCGAGAACCACAATTTATCCATAAGGAAATTCTTCTCACCATTTTTTCTGCTCTCGTGTTTCTTTTTCCAAAAACCGGATAGTTACTTAATCTTCTGTTTATTTCACTCTTCTCAAATCATCCCTTTTTAAAATTCCAAATTGTGGATCAAACAACTGGTACCCTCAATGGGAACGTTGCGTCCCTTTTACTGTGCGTTATTGTTACGCACCATTTTATGACATTCATTGAATTCTTCTTTGTAATAGCAACTTTAGGGTAGGTGGACTTCAACTCCCAGCATTCCCAGTCAGCATCCCGGCTGGGGAATGCTGGGAGTTGAAGTTCGTAGATGTCAGCTGCGGAATTACGGGAGTTAAAAGACCACACAACCTAAAAGTGCTAAAATTGAGAAACTCTGCTTTTCAATACATCTGTTTTTGTATCTTTTTTTTTTTGTGCTTTGTCACGTTGTGTGTCTTTTTTGAATGCGTAACCTGCAATTTCCTTCCTTGCATTTCTAATACCTTGAAGGAAAGATGACTTGGGAAGCTATTAACATATGATTGTCCTTGAAATTATGATGTCAGGTAAAACTGAAGAGCTTTGATTTCTGATTTCGCTGTTTCTGTCAGCCATTTTATAAGTCGGGTCATCAACCTCGGTCATTTTAAGAGGTGTGGACTTCAACTCCCAGAATTCCTCAGCCAGGCACACCTGGCTGAGGAATTCTGGGAGTTGAAGTCCACAAGTCATAAAAGGGGCCGCGTTTGAAGACCCCTGTTATAAGTTATAAAGTCTTTTGTCACTTGCACTTTATTCAATGGATGCTTCGTGAAATATATGAATGCAGATTTGGGGGAGAATCTCTTGATTATGTGGGATTTTAAAAGCATTGAAATAAGCTGGCTGTACGAGATTTGTAATTAAAAGCCAAAACAGAACCAACTCTTGGACTGTTAATAATTGTTTAGTTTTGACTGCCATTTATGTATGACCTTCTTTTCAGGAATCTGTGCCTCGTGTTTTGTTTTTTTTAACCTATATTGAAAGTCGCTGCGAAGAATGGGAATAAGAAAATTAATGTTTGTATGAAAGATTGGGTAGAAATTGTAAAAAAATTTTAAAAAATGAAAGAGCAGGACTCGGCCAAACAAAACCATAGACACACACCAGTTTTGGAGCCTTCTTGATTGGTGATTGAATTATAATTATTTTGAATTATAATTTTCAAAATAATGTATGATTATTTTAACAGACTATAACAGAATAACAGTTGGAAGGGACCTTGGAGGTCTTCTAGTCCAGCCCTCTGCTCAAGCAGGAAACACTATAACATTTCAGACAAATGGTTGTCCAGTCTCTTCTTAAAAACCTCCAGTGATGGAGGATTCACTGCTTCTGGAGGCAGGTTGTTCCACTGGTTAATTGTTCTAACAGGAAGTTTCTCCTTAGTTCTAGGTTGCTTCTCTCCTTGCTTAGTTTCCATCCGTTGCTTCTTGTCCTGCCTTCAGGCGCCTTGGAGAATAGCTTGACTCCCTCTTCTTTGGGGCAGCCCCTGAGATATTGGAAGACTGCTATCATGTCCCCCCTTGTCCTCTTCATTAAACTAGACATCCCCAATTCCAGCAACCGTTCTTCGTATGTTTTACCTTCCAACCCCACAATCATCTTGGTTGTTCTTCTCTGCACTCTTTCTAAGAAAGAGTCAACATCTTTTTTATATCATGGTGACCAAAACTGGATGCAGTATTCCAAGTGTGGTCTTCCCAAGGCACTTCATGTGATTAATGAATTCAAAATATTTCAAATGGGAATTATTTGAGCCTTTGTGCGATGCTACAATTTTGCTAAGAATAAGATCGGTATTTCCGACAACCATACCTTCATTCTTCCGTCCTCAAGAATGAGGATATTGAAATCAGCAGGTGTGGT